ACTCATGATTCTTTGAAGATCACATATATAGAAAGCTAAATTGCTGTCTTTTGATGAGAGAATAAATTTATAAGAAAAGGTTCATCATCTATAGATGATCATTAATATAGCCCATTATTTACGTTTTGGGATTTTCAGCCTAATTGGTATGCCTGATGAACAAGGGTTTTTGTGTACAAGTTCCGAATAACCCACACAGTTTTTGCTTGTGTGCACTTTGAACGTTAAACTTCCAGCAAAATCAAAAGTAATCAGAAAATATGCGATATTATCATTGTCTGCATCACCATCAAAGCAGATGCTGCCAAACCAATTGCGTAAGATTAAAAATGTACTTGTTTACTTGCGCATTACTATGTTTGGGCTGGAAACCACTAATTCGATAAGGGAAATAGGGAACAGGAACTTTATTTGGCAGACAGAAGATAATCGTTTCGAACTCCCCTCCATCCATTTCTGGAGCGTGCTTTCTTTTGTCAAGTTGTAGGGGTTGCAGCTTCATTGGATTTCTTGAAAGGTCAGGATTGCGTTCACAAGTGTGACATTGTGCGGTGCTCGTTATTTTCCAATTATCTGATTATGGCCCTCTTTATAGGCTTTCTCACAGGCTTTGTCTGTGGCATAATCACTAGCAGTTCAAACCATCGCATTTACCATTTCTCGATTTCGAGAAAAACGGCTTATTAACAATTTTTTCAGATTGCAGTATTTTAAAGGTTCTAGAACAAAAATTTTTACTAAAACAAAAATCTTTCAAAAGCAGTTAATTTGTGCAGCTTGTATCCGGAATCACACTCTTTCGCTTGATAGCTATCATTCTTCTTATGAATATAAATAAGTATCCTTCTGCGACACGGAAGCAATATGCTATAAGCCATTATAGCTGCATGGCCGTAGACTCTGCATTTATAAAAACTAAAGGACTTCTGATTTATTGCAGAGAAACGGCGATCTGCTTTGAAGTACAGGTTTCATTAATTGAAGAGTGCCATAAATTGTCCCCATTCATGAAAGTGTGCGTGACGGATTCTGACATTCAAACGGTACAAAATTATCCTACCACCCATAGTAGTAGATGAAGTTCAGCAAGCAGAGTTAAAGAAAGGTAGTTTCGTTTCGCTGTTCGATTGGACAGTCATTACCAGGACCAGATTAGCTTCCCCGTTTCAGCGCTTGTTTCGCCAGTTCGTCCGGCTTGAACCTCAAAATCTATAAACACTCTTGTAACTTTTATTGTGAATTTCACCTTTCATAATGACTGCGTTTGGGATTGAAGATAGGCATTGAAAGAACAATGTTCCTTCTTCAGGTTCAAGGCTTTTGCTTATCAAAACTACCGTTTATGGAACTTTTCAGCCAGTACTTCATTGGACCAGGCTTTACTGGTTTGGCACTCTTCTTCGTGATAAGAGCTTGTATGATAGTTAAAACTAGTTCCTGCTTACCAATCACCGTGTGCACTGAATAAAAATCTTTATTAAATTTTAATATTTATAACGCATCGAGTTTTTTAAAC